GAAAGGACGCGAAGTTGATTGCGATATTCTTGGCAGCGGGAACTTCCAATGGAATTCCGCGCTGCTGCATTCCTGAGATTCTTTTCTTGATTTTTAGTTCAGGTTTTATAAGTTATTTTAATGTAAGTATTGTTTGTATTTGTAGGACGGGCCCTCTGTGTCCCACAAATATCTGTGTTCTGGTCAAATTTGTGGCTAGAAGTAAGGGTGGCAATAATTTGAAGGTGGATTGCATCTTTTAATTATACCAGCAAGTTTAAAAAAAAGGGTTCAAAAACATTACCATTGCATATTTAATTTTTTTTCCTTTTCTTTCAGGGATTAATGTACCATTCATGAACGTATGGTGGAATCTTGGCGAAGGATTTCACAAAAAAGATGGAACCTTCATTGCCCCCAAATCCGGCTTATATCACTTCTTCCTGCATTTTGATGGATTGGGGGGTCCTCAGGGGGAGATGAGGATCGAAAAGAAGGACATGGTGTTGGCTACAGCAGTGATGGGGAAGTTCGATCGACACACTATTGAAATTGACGCCATCACAAAATTGGACCAGGGAGAATCTGTTTTTGTGAGGGCGTTTGGAGGCATCTCAACACAGCCCCAAGGACTGAAATTCTCAGGATTCCGCGTCTGATGAAATTAAGAAAGTAAAACACGTGGGCATGATTTGTCTGAATCACGAAATCGTTGGTCATTTGTCATTTCACACAGCCTTTCTCATCAGCGTGCTTTCTGCACATTAATTTCTGCTCATCAATCCAGAAAATGGACCAATGGACAAAATCGCAGGAATTCGACAAGGACGTTGCTTCAACTATCGACATGCACCTTCATGAAATTCGCACCGAAGTCCAACGCGTGGGAGAGATTATTTTTTGACAAATTTTTTTGAAGAGTGCGAATAATTTGAATTATTTTGCTCTAAATGCAGAAAAATAGAGGAGTGTTGGACACGATCGCAGAACTCTACCAAGGACGTTTTTCTTCAGCCGTCGACATATTCATGAAATTGGCAACAGATGCCCAACACGTGGAAGAAATTATCATTTGCCAATTTTTCCCAATGAATGCGAAAACTTTTTATTATTTCCTAGCTAAATGAAAAAGAAGAAATGAGAGACGATCATGTGTATCCGCGAATGACGTTTTATACTTTAGGTATCAACAATTATTTCATGTAACTGGCAACAGATTTCCAACGCGTGGAGAAATTATTTATTTGAAATTTTTTTGAAACGAATGCGAATAATTCAGACACTTTTTTTCGAACAATAGGAGGAAGAAAAAATCCTGAAACTCTGCCAATGACGTTTTTGACAACCCCATTAAATTGGCAATGCGTTCGTTCAATGCGCGGAATAAATTATCATTTGTCAATTTTTGGGGAAGAGTAGGAATAATTTGGCTTATTTTTCACAGCGCAATACCTCAATGTGGCCAATGTGGCGGCTGTGAAGGCGGCTGTTGACGAAAAGGGCGTAACTACCTTGGAAGACCTGGAGGCAACCCTTAGAAATTAATGCCACGTTGATTTCAAGAATTCTGAGGTGAAAGCTGGGCTAAAAAAAAAAAATCTGCAGGAAGGGCTTCTCATCTTTTCAGCAGAGAGAAAAACTCTACCAGGGTAAATTTTGCAAACATTCAAAAAAAATTGTCAAACATAGGGCTGATTTTTTGTGTGCAAAAGAATATGTTTTTTCTAAAGAATAAAATTTTTCAGCTCAATTCTATGTCATTTTGATTTCCATTCCAAGAACTTTTGTTAGAACACTTGTATATAGTAGCTGGGTGTGAAGAATGTCGCAGGATGGTGGCGGTCCAGAGAGTGTCGGTCATTCTGACGTCAAAATCGCACAATTTTAAAGTCATAGCATGCGCAAATAACACAATTCGCCAAATATTGCTGATCTATTGTGCGCATCACAAATTCACGAAAGTTTTCAGCTCCAAAATGCAACAATTCTAGGGCACCTTTTTCGAACTCCAACATACGTAATTGAAATTCCAGAAAATCAATAATGTGCATGAGAATCAGCAAAGCGGTTGTGTTCCCAACACGTGGTCCGTGAACCAGCGCCGGAATTTTTTTTTATCCGGTCCGTGGGAACTTTTCAGCTCAATACAATAAATGCATCGGAATTTGTAATGAAATCTGTTATTTATATCTGATGGCTCAGAAAGACAATGGCAGTTGAAATCATTGGATTAAAATAAAAGTTGGCTTTTCCCTTGACAACAATCAAGAATATTTTAAACCTGCTGAAATAAATGAATTCCAGTTTTCCTTTTGGGGAAACCATTTTTCAAGCCCAGCTTTTTATTTTTTTGCAGACATTGCACTATAGCTACGTCACTGGTTCTCAACTTAATTTTGAAAAAAAAAATCTTTGTTTGGAGGACTTTATGGGAGGTATTTAAAAATTTTTCTGGTAGTCTGCAAACATTTTATGGAACGCCGCCAGTCCACAGAAAATGTTATGGAAATATGCCAGTCGGTAGAAACTTTTAGGAAAATTTGCTGGTCCAAGAGGCAAAAAAGGTTAGGGAACACTGGTATAGAATATATCTACCATGAGAAGGCTTGCATGAAAACTTGAATCAATGCCCAACCTTTGTTTTCTATCGTCATCATCAATTAATTCTGATTCATTTATATTCTTGCAATCATTAAATGTATCACAGGACGGCTCCATGATGAAATCCCATGGGAGAAAAAATCCCGCGCCCCAAAAATCCCTTGCAGCCAAAATTCCATAGGCCCGAAAGTCTTGCAGGGTCCAAAAATCCCGTAGATACGAAAATTCCAATGAGTACTACAAAATTGTCAAATTTTCTCAGGGTTTCCCTTCCACCTTAAAACCCAAAAGTGCGAGGGTTTGAATTCCTTCCAAGGACTTGGGAGGTTTAGGGATTACCTTTCTCAATAGAGCCTCACATTCACTTCATCACCTTTCTCAAGAGAAAGGCAAGGAAGCCTGGGAAAGATGTTTCCTTCATTTGGAGCCTTCATCCCTGCATTTTTTTTGTATATAAAATGTACTTTTCCGATATTAATATTAAGATTGAAAATGAAATATCACCATGTAACTGCATTTAGACTTCTTTGATAATTTAGAATTGTTTACATATCATTGCCTTCTGTACTTTTCAAACCAGGTTTTTCTGATATAAGAATTGATTTTTTAGGATTTTCGTATCTACGGGATTTTTGGACCCTGCGAGATTTTTTGCCTTATGGGATTTTCGGCCGCACGGGATTTTCTCCTGCACCCCACAGGACTATTATTATGAAAATATATTGAACAACACCAAATATTTATATCTCAAGGATATTTAAAATCCGCCAGCAATGAAAAATAATAAACCGCGTGCTATGAATCCATTATAACCATGCACGTGCATCTGTAATCATTATGAAAGATCGTGATTCTCCGACACATTTACGACTCACGAATCTGTCCACACTACGTAAGTCTATTTTTTTTTTCAATACACGAAAATTGATGATCGCATGCAATGTCACAGGTGATTGTAAATTATCATCAAGTCACTCAGAGTTTAAAATCTTCACAGCAATTCGAAAAAATCCCAACTCGTCTATAAAAAAAAATTCGATTTAAAAATTGCGTCGCTTCGGCAAAGTAAAATAGGCATCCGCATACTGTACAGGCTTGATTCGAATCAAGATTTCACTGTGGAAGTGGTCAATTATATTTCGTTCGCATTTATATATTCTAATTGATCGGTAATTATTTTTAAATTTCAGCAATGCTGACGATATGCTGAAGCACGTATGTTCTATTAAATGTTTCAGAAACTTCCCTCAGCAGTGACGAGAATCGGGTGGACTGATGAAGGCCTGCAGGATACTTCTTCTTCTTCCGGGCATCTCGGCTTTGTTGATGATCAAAATTACAAATGCTTCCGAAGAAGCAGAGATGCATTCCCCGTGGTCGTATGACGACAGCTTGTATCGCGAAGGTCCATTTTGCGATGACTGTTTGTCTCCCTTTATCCAGTTGCGAGCCCCTTTCCACTTTTTCGACACTGTGCACACCCGCCTTGCCACGAGTTCGAATGGGTACCTAGTATTTGACAAAATTTTCATCGAGTTCATGGACGTGTGT